TGTCATGGTTAACCAGAGGATCCCTGAAGACCCTGCCCGTCCCTGCGACGGTGCTGAGCAGCAGTCACCCCTCTCTCGGGCTGCTCTGACCTGATCCAAAGGTGCTGCTAGCCGCCTGCCTTTCATGGCACCCAGCTGTCCTTTATGGGGACCCCTCGTTATGTTCCATCCCGCCTGCCCCACGTGCCCTCCTTACGCTTTCCTCCTGGCTGGCTCGGCCTGTGAGCCCTCATTCCTGTGCCCTCTCCTCGGGACCGCGCACTTTCTCTCTCAACCTTAACACCTGCTTGTGCCAGGGCTCCCACTAACTCTGTTCCCTCTCTTGGCAGCACCCACATCACTGACCTTTCTGAGCCTGTGTGTGCTGTGCCCAAGTTTCATTTGCCTCCCTGAACCCAGACTGGCTGTGCTCTAAGGGCAGACCCAGCCCCACACACAGGTCATCTTCCCAAGTACAGCTTTACCATATGGGTAACTTTAGTATACTTTTAAGAAACAGAAGCTTGAAAGTATTCCATTGTTTGTCACAGAAACTGCAAAAGAGGATGTACAGAGCAACCCTAATCAAGAATGTGCTGGAAGGAACAGGGAGGAGGAGGAGGAGGATGGGAAAGGGGGAAAAGATGGGATGGGGTAGGCAGGGATCTGCAATAATCCTTCTTACAGATATACAAAGAGAAATGAAGGGGATGGGCAAAAAGAAAACATCTGAACTCAGGAAGACAGACCCTTTTTCAGAGGTGGAAGCTGAATATTTAAAACTCCTTGCAATAAAAGCGTGAATTATTTCCCCTTATCTATATGAAACTCTGCCTTTGGTGCATATTCTCATCTCACTCTACGAAGATGCACAAAGGCGAGTCCCTGAGCGTCGACAGAGGAACGCACTGCGGAGTATGGCAAGACGCATGCTTGTGTATACGCAGCAGGAGAACACTTCAGACGGCATCCCTGCGCCTTGCCCTGCCAGGCTCTCACAGCGGGCAGTGAACCATCTCCTGCTAGGGTTTAGGCCTTAGCAACGCTAACGCGCAGTGGGGCCTTTGGAGTTACATTACAGCAGGAGCGACTTCTACAAGGCAGCAGGGCAAAACGCTACAGTATTTAACCAAAGAGCAATTAAATACGCACTTCTGTTCATATTGAAAGATTCTTTATAAGCAAGAGTACCTAGTTGTGCTCTCCCTGTGCCTGCTTTTGGAGTGCTACATTGTGCAAAGCAGAGACATGCTTCCTTTTACCAAAATTTCCCTTTTGCTATTGTACGTTGCGGAGGCATAGGCAAGCGACTTTGCAGCTTCATCCCACAAACATGGTACAGATGTTTATCACTGAGCACTTGATGGATGAATTCAAATGGGAGAAGCAGGAACTCAGAAGAATGGAACCGTACTGATAAATATTTCACAACATTACAGACTGCAACATATATCTTCAGATCCCATTTGCCAGAATTGCTTACAGGTGATAGGTACGTCAATTAGTGTAGTACTCGTGGCAACGTGAGAAACATAGATTGGAATTGATGGGCTATGTACTATTTTCCAGCTGTAGTACAGCTCGCTGCTATTATTTGCTTGCAACAAACATCTGTTCCAAGATGAAAGCACCTACAAAGGCCTCAGTGTCTCCAAAATTACAAGAGGTTAGTTTGTTAAACATTTAATCTATGTAAACAAATACAGGCTTCATGCAAGACAGATCTGAGTACAGCCTGATTATTCTATCATAGCATTGCTAACTATTACTCACTGCTGTGCACAAAAATTTCAAAACCAAGAAATTCTCAGATATATTTTCCTAGGTAAAATATGTTGCATGAAGGTCAGTTTACTCGGAGGCTCCTACTTTTAGAAATAAAACTGATTTCAGAAGAAAGGAAGCATTTAAACAGTGTCATGGCAATATGGCTTATTCAATTAATAACTAGCTGGTTTATTTTTAATTGCTCATGTACCTCGTCAAACTCAGCTTAGGTCAGTCATGAAGGAAAACAGCTACCAGCTGTTGACAGCTGCGCAGCCTGTACAGGATGGACATGGTTCTCACAGCTGATGGATGGGGCCTCAGATCAGAGAAAACTAATATTACCGCAAATGGCACAACTGTGTGCCCGTGACTGGCCTCCCTGTCACTCACAGCAGAGAGGCTGAGGGCATGTTTCTGAACTACTCTCTTACCCCTAAAGGTGGTCTCTCCAGGTCAGGTTTGAGGCACATTGGTGGGGCAATGTGGGGAAGTTTGCACTGCTGCGGCCCATGCTGTATCTGCTCTATAAATAAATAGAGGACTTTAGTCTCCAGGGCTGTCAGTTTGGCACCTTCCATGTCCAAAAAAGACATGTTTTGTTTTTTTTATTTGTTTAGAAACAACCACCCAAAAAGTTATATGCAAAGCTTAGTATGTCAAATCAAAATAAACCAAATTTATTGTATGAGAGCACCTAAAATCCCAAAACTTCGCTCTTTCTTTTGTGTTTTCTACTTTTAATTGTGATAAGAATAAAAATTATGGACCTCTTTCGGTGTTTCTTGATGACAACGGTTGCTGTTCCACCACAACTCCAATGCTGCCACCAAACATGCAAGTAGAAGGCCTATTGCTAAAATGCAGAAAACGCCTGCAAAACTGTGAAGCTTGAGTGCCTTCCCATCTGTCTGTGCATTGGTATGGCTATTCAGGTCACAACGTCCCATTCGTGGCCACCATTTCTGTTTAAGAACATCCAAATCTCCGCTTTCTTGCAACTCTAAGATCCTGCAGAAATTTCAAGAGACACATATTATTTTCAATGATACTTTTTCACATTTTTTTGGTCTTTTCCACATGCTGCATAACTCTTAAATCTACCATCCCATAATTCAAAACTCCATCCCACTACCACCACCTTGTAGTATTCTTAATCTGAAAATCTGTTATACCAGGATTGCTTTCTACTCACAGCAGCAGGTAAACTCCACTGGGTAACTTTAGAAAAAGAAGAGACTGTCAAAAATTCCACTGCATTGCAAGAAGCATTTCCAAGGGAAATCACCATGTTCCAGTTAGTCATGGCTGCTCTGGCTACATTCAGCTGCAACAGCTGGTCCCACTAGCGAAATGCTCAACCCACTCCACTGCTGCTCTCCCACAATAATTTCAAAATCATGTGAGACTAAACATGCTACTATTTGTGTGCCACTTAATACGAATCTGTTTAAGCAGCGACCAACTCATTTACTTCAGCAAATGCAGTTTATTCAAAAGGATTTTACTTCAATGCTGTTACTTCATGCCTGAATTACCGTGTTAACAATTGCTAATTAATCATTGTTTTGCCTCTTGTGAAGTGTCCCTTCTCTCCCTGAATGATTCATTTTGGATTTGGTTTGATAACTGGTTTAGCTGTTTACTAATAATCTTTTCTCTTGAGGCAGCTTCGTCTCTGGTTATGCAGCTGGCGTTTTACCCCTTTTTATAAAGAAGGAGCGAGACGAGGAAACCTTGCTTCAGCTCCCTGCCTGGAGCAGAGCACCCGCTCACCTTCTGCTAAGGCCACACATGCCTGCACAACTGCATGTCTTCATTTCAGTGTATGCATTCACATGAAAAAGATATTTTTAGCTGATAGCTCAGAGATTGCTAAATGGCATAGTCTTATAGTCTCATAGTCTTGGCAATCCCACACAATACTCAGCAGTTGTTTTCCTGTACCGTTGTGTCTTCGACCTGTCTCTCCATCCTAAAGGATAAACCAGGGCATTATTACTTGTTTAGTGTAAGGAGCAACACATTGCTTCATAGCCTTCAAAATGTAGCATGAATCAAAGATTTCTCTTCAATCTCTCCGTTAGCTCACACAAAGCTCTGAGGACATCAGTCCTTTTTCTGCCAGAGGCAGTGCTGCCTGGAGGTGTGAGGCCACACACCACTTCCAGTCCCCTCCTCCCTATGCAGATGCACATGGAACAGAAAGAAGTAGCAGCTTTGCTGAAGCCTGAACTTATAACCTCTCTGCTGTCACTTATTCACTGTCCTTTATTCAATAATTGCCAAAATTAATGTGAACCACAAATGGTTGCTGGTTGTAGAGAGGAATCCTATAAAATGAGCTTTGTTTCAGTTTACCTCTGGGAGAAAAGATCTCTGTAGGGGCTTCCATGCTGGAGTGCTATCCCGTATCCTTTGCTGCTGATGCTGTTTCCAATGACTGTCACAGAGCATTCATCATCCGTCAGCGCGGCATATTCCACCACTGTCACATCCCACAGGAAAGCGTAGTTTCCTTTCTTTGCCTGTAAATACAGCACAAACACAACATAATCTAAACTAAACTACATTTCTAGGTAGGACAAACCTAAGCAAATAAACAAACCCTGAGCTTGTCATTACTCCATGGTGATATTTCATTAGAACACAGTTTATCTGTAGACCTCCAACATCTTAGTATGTTTCTAACACTCTTCCTTCCCAGCAGTACCTCATCTACTTCAAACCTCACTAAAATGTCTTCCAATTTTAGCAGGAATACATAGGACAACACAGTCAACTGTGTAAGTGTAGGCAAAGCTTACATAACAAGTTATTAATTATAAATGAAAGCTATTGCCTTAGCTACTGAAATCTGATGTAAGTTTTGTAAGAGACATGGAGCGTCACCAGTTCCATACATTCACGTGATTAGATGGGTACAGTATGAACACAAAGTGGTGCTTCCTAATCATCACAGCCACCAAAAAGGTAACTTTGCAGCTTTCCTCATATAAACGTGTAAATAAACAAAGTCCCTTCTGAGAGGTATGCTAGTCCTGTAACAAAAGCCACACTCTGAACTTAGAGAGTTCCTTCTTTTTTTCACAGGTAAGAACAGTCACCAGAGTCTCCTATGATCTTGGTTTTGGGACAAATACTGTTTTATTTTAGCACACACCCACGCAGATGTCCTTAAATGTCAGCCTTAATTGGGATTCAAACCAATGCCTGCACACAGTGAATATGATGAATGTAAATCACCTTACTTAACATAAGATGCAAGAAACATCTCTGGATAGGGATTCAGTAAAGAAAAAAGTCGTGATTTTGTTTGGTTAAAGTAATCATTGGTTTCCTAATATATTTAAGTAGTATGTTTTTAAGTCTCTAGTGAACATACAGAGCACAACAGAACAGATGGGCTGGAACATCTAATACAAATAAATTAATAGTCACGAATGTAAGACTTTGCTGCTTTCTTTTTTTTAAACTTTGGGTGATTTCAGATGTATCTTTAGGTTAGAACAAAGGAAGGCAGGGAGCCGAAGTCCTTCATATCTTTCTTTATGGGGACGGAATCACCAAACTCCCTAGCAAAGGGCTGCAGCTCTGACACGGAATTAGCTCATCCTTCACATATTTTCCATTTTTGTGTAAGCTAAGTTTTGAATTCACCTATAAGCCTCCCGTAGTTATTTTATTATCCTGGATTCTACAGTTGAGCAATTAAGCTAATTTTACTTCACCATGGTTTGATATAAACCATAGCTTTCTGAAGTCCCTGACAGTTGTTTAAACATGACAATAAATCAAATGGGTAAGTTATCCTCTAGTGGGTAGAAACCAGGGAAACAAAGATTAAAAGTGTGTTGTGTGGATTTTCTGTAAGCTACTTGCCAACAATCCACCTCTTTCCCCACCTTCCCTTTTATCTGCATCACGGCAATCAAAGATCCCCAAATTCATTTCCTTCTGAATTAAACCAGAGTAAAAAAGTTATAGCCTTCCTCTTTGGTAAGATTTAAATGAGCCTGTACTGACCACTTTGAAAATAATTTCTTGTTAAGGGCATGGCACCATTGTGGGTTTGTCCCCATTTTCTCCTTTGCCACCTCCCTCATCAGTTCAGAGTAATAGTAATTAATGCATATAGCCTCAGACAACTACTGCTATATGAGGACAAAGGATCATTAAAATCTAAACTACAATATGAGCCTTACAGCAGTTATTCAAATAGGAGCCACAGGACTCTACTGTTAAAATAATACATTGATTTAGCTGACACAACTTATTAAACTAGCATGTTCATAAAAATATCTCTCACTTCAATGTCACTGTATGAAACCAGACCAGAGCAAGAGTCCCATGTCTGCATTGTAATGCTATACCTGGCTGTCTACCTAAACTGGTAACGGTGGCACAAAGGAGGAAAGAACAAACAAATCACTCTTAACTATATGCAACAGCCAGAAAACGGTTCATAACCTATCAACACAAGGATGCGTAAAAAAATTAAGGATGGCAAGGGAGCAATTCCTCAAGGCATCTAGCCTACATTCAGCCAGCAACCTACATTCTTGGAAGCCTAAAATGTGCTTTTCAAAGGTATTTGCTGAATGATCATGTACCCATAGCTAACTGGTTTGGTAGCAGCAAATCTCTGCATCTTGCCCTCTGCTCTACCTGTGATGGGCTTTAACGATTCACATTCTATGCTTTCACATCTGCAGTGGTGCTGATAGGCCTCCTACCTGCTTAGGGAAAACAGGCAATGGGCATCAGTCCCACTGGTGTTCCTGGCAGGGAAGGACCCTATTTTTGCACATCGCAGGCAGGTTGTGTTCTATGGTAAACAGTACATAGGCTATTGCCACCTATGATAGAAAACTGTCCAAGTTCAAATGCATTAAAAATATGTACTCATGGGACCAGAGACAACATCACTTGTTACTGCACACAGAATTTATAAAAACCTGTGTTATTAGAGAGCAAAAACTTGTCTGATGGATGTCCAGAAAGAGGAGACCCAGAAAAGATTTGACATAAATCACTGTGCTAAAATGTGTCTTGCATTTTTGTGGTTGGTTTTTTTGCATGTTTGTTTATTTGTTTTAAAGAGCTGTATCTTTGTTTCAGAATTGTAAATAAATTTACAGTTTAGAAAAGAAGAACACTGACAACATGTCATACATTCCTCATCTTTTTCTTAGCAATAATTGAGGAACAAAGTCTTCCTCAAATACTCAGTTTCAATTATAAGGCAATGTCTAGAGAAAAATCCCATTACAGATTACACTTTTCAAGGCTCAGTTTTCTGTATGTTATTTTATATAGAAGAGCTCTGTAGACTGATTTTCAATGTCAGAAAGCAGATCTTTTGAAAAGGTCTACTTTCTTGCATTTGCAATGTTGCTATCCTATGTCCTACAACTGTAAGTGGTCAATAAACAAAGTCCACCAGGTCTCTTCGCATCAATTTTACATTTTTTATGGTATAGATCATTCTATCCAGTGCCATCACATCTGTAAAGCATTATTCTCTGGCAGCCTGATCTTTTTAGCATAAATAGGAATCTGAGTTTTAAACTCTTATATGCATACTTCTCAACTCCCAGAAATACTGGATGTAAGACTCTCCCTTTTCTGTTTACCAAAACCAGAATCTCCAAAGATCCCTTTTCCTTAAGGGAAGATTTGTCTCTTTGAAAACTTCTTCCACGTGTGTAATTTTCTTCTTTGAAGAGTGGAGATCTTGTACTATTAGTGTGTTCATTGCATGGAAAGCTTCCTTATGACCAAGTGTTTAGTTGCTGTCTAAATTCAGCATCCTTCACATCCCTGTTCAATACCTGTTGTGACTGCTAAGCAGTATCATTTGTTCAATTTAAAGAAAAACTGACAAACTTTGAAAAAAGTATGTAGAAACACAACTACAGACATACAAGTGTGCCTGAGATATGTTTACTTTTTATATAGTAAAAGCAGTAAAACTAGCAAGCAGTAAAAGCCAAATAAAATCAAACTGACACTTATTTTTAAGCAAAAATCAAACTAAAACTTTTTTAAAAGTAGTTTAAGCTTTTAATTTTTGTCACATGAAAGAATGCAAGCGTGCACATGTGCATACCCCTTAGCTTCCAGGCCAGAAGGGTAGTGGAGGTAAGAAAACTAAGAATTACAGGAAACACCTGGCACTGTCCCATGGGATGTATGAGCAGGAAACGCATCAAAGCTCCCTAGTTGTGTATGACACAGATGTACCTACCCATGCAACCAAGTTCTGGCCACAATACAACAAGGATCCATATCCTCAGCCTCTTGCATTCACAGCTCAGCCATCTAAAGCCTGCATCGTATGTTTTTAGGGCCCAAAATAGAACAAAAGTGTTCTAGTGATCAGACATCATTGCAAAGATAATTTAGAGAGATGGTGAAAGGGAATGTGGCAAATCCCAGCTAAGAATAGGTAAGATAGGTTGAATAGTGAATGACTGAAATGAAACACAGAATAATAAGCTAAAATTTAATACTTTAGACTTTTAATTGGCTTTCATATTTTGCTCCTTTGCTATAGCCTTATTGTGACTCTCAGCATGCAGGCATATTGCAGAACAAAACAAAAATAGCTCGGTTAAACTTTCAGGAATATCTTTAACAGAAATTCAGCCAAAGCAGCATACATTTATTCCATCCACTACTATGGTGGTTTATACCAAAGACACCAGATTTAGCTTTGGTTGAAGAGATTTAAGAAAACAGATTTAAGAAAAAAAGAACCCCCTAGGCAAAAGTTATACTAAAAATATTTCTTCTTCACAATCATGAAAAATTAAAAGGCCAAGAAAGATTGCCTCCTAGATATAAGGAGGACCACAAAGAGAACAACAATACTTCAGAAAAGCAGTAGGCAATGTCATAATGTCACTCTTCAACATGGAGGGAGATGGAAGAATTGTTCAAAGGAACCTGGCTTAATGATGGTAAAATGATGTTTTTTAAAAGAAAGCAAGGTAAGAAATAATAACTGGAAAAAAGATGAATTTCAGCTTAATCACTGGTATGTCTGTGATTTATTTGAAACTTATGAAGAAGCTACCATACTAAAGACGAAAGTGTCAGAATAATGCAACATTCATCATTAATTTACTGCCAGAACAGAGCATCACTGTAGCTGATCTCATTATATGGCTGGTACCACAGAAATATCAAAAAGTGACCTTTACATTGGCATTAGTGAAGTAGTTCAAAAACATGCTTGGATAACATTTATTATCTATAAAAAAGTGCTTTAAGAGAAGCAACACAGGTCTAATAAAAAGAAAACATGCCATTTAATCCTGTTCAAATGATTTAAAAATTAATATAATTAAGGAGCCGCTAAAAGATGTAATATATTCAGGCTTTAAGGAAGCATTTGCTTTTACTCCAAAGGCTGATGGGTCAAGAAATGGAGACATTTATGAGGACCCATGAAAACATATGGATGAGCAACCACAATTCACAATATAAAATTAATTGTGGACAATAAATTATTGGAAAGAATAGTTTTAAAAAATTCTATTCATTGAACTTTTAAATTACTTTTATTCTCAAAATAAAAATGAACAGAGGTAGAGGTGACTGTTCAACAAGAAACAATCTGATTTAATGTTTAGTGTTCATTAAGGGAGAGAAACCTTTTGAAGGAAGCAAAAATGGAAGGAATAAACCTTCTACTGTGCCATTGCCTAAATCAATGATAGATTCACATTTCGTACTGTACTTAGTTTTAATCGCTTTTCATCAAAAGTGATACACAGGAAGGCATGAAAGGATTCAGAGAAATTTAGGCACCAAATTGATTGGACAGGGGAACAAACAGTCTCCACCAAAACAAGGCTTTTAAAAAACACAAGAATAACAGTTTAATTCTCTTGTGTATGTATATAGAAGATATATATGGGATTACATAGGGATCATATTACTTCATTCTTTCAAAGCAAAAATGTCTGCCCACAGTGAAAAAAGCCACAGGTTATTACATATGTTGTGGTAACTCATAATTACCCTGAAGAACTGACTGCCACTGGGTATTATGCAAACAGTTTGCCGAGATTTACAAATGGATTAGAAACGTGTGCGATTCCAGTATCAACGTCCACCTGGGATCAGACAGCAGGAGCTACCCACTGCATGCTTCTTGGGGATCCTGGCTGTAGCATGACCCAGAAAGAAACTTTCCATATGACAGCATTAGTCAATCCTCATCTATTATAGTACCAGAAAACTGAAGTGGCAAAATAGCGTTTTGTATGGAGTGGTGGCTTGTCTGGTAACCTCCTCTTACGCTATGCAGAGACCTTTGTGAATAGGAGAATGTTTTCCGTCTGCAATGACTACTTTCAATTGCCTTGGGAGTACAACAAAAGCAACTTGCCTCTCTGGCTCTGAAACGTCCTTCTGTTGCTTACGTGATTCTGCAGTGCATTAATGCCCTTTCCACGGCTCTACCGGTGTTGCAAAAGCTGTGCCTTGACAATGGGAGATGGTCACTGTGGCTTGCAGGGACTGTGCTGTGCCTGAAAAGAGACCTCTCCCATGGCAACCAAATGCCACATAAGCTTTCAGGACTGTCTTCCACTATTACCCTTTGGTTTTTAGCCAAAGGGAGTAGGAAAATCTCTGGGAAATGGAGAGGTAAATGGAATAGAAGGAAACATCTGAAATACCTGCTTGTACCATAAATATGCAGCACTCTCCTGTTTTGCATTGAAGCGGCATTGCTCTGTTTCTAACTGCAGCTGAACTGTGATGCTGTCTGAAGAAAATGGAAAGGGCAAGGGGGGAAGAAAGGGTAGTAGTGATTTTTTTTTTTTTTCATTGTGTTGGGCAAGTTCTCATTCAGAAAAATGTGTTAGGGATCTTTTATGCTAGAGAGATTTAGATTTCCCATTTCCTATAAAATACATTTCTAAGGCACAATTACATCTCTTTCATGCCACAGAACATGTTTACAGATGGAAAGTCCCATTTCCCTGGCTGATATCAATTCTCCTTTAGAAAAATCAAATTTCTAGCCATAATACTTGACATGGAAAACTTGCCTGTTTATTCAAAGAAATAGAAAAAGCAACATTTAAACTATAAACACACAAGTTGAGTTGACAATGTTATTAAATATTAAGCCAAATTTATGTAGGTGTCTAATCAAATAGCAGTCTTGGTCAGCTTTGGCGACTGAAGTAAATTTGGTTATTGTTGATGTTAATTGAATGAGCTGATCAAGTTATATAAAAATCACCCTACAATATTGAAATCAAACTTAAAATGAAAAGTTATTATCACATAGATAGGATGGAGCTCCCAGCTCCATACAGACAATGTAATTGGTATTCTGAACAGCCTGCAAATCTACAGTTACATTTCTGGCTTAGTCAAATCTAGCTATCATAAATGGCAGCAGGCAGTAAGGCTTACAGAATAAGAGTATTTACAATCTCAAGGCTAAAGAGCATCCACTGACATAAGAATTGTAAAAAAGAAAAAAAAATTAAATACTGTGAATTTTTCTAAGGTCAACTGTTTTATTATTGGTTTTAATGCCAAGGGACATAGAAAAGTACTTACTTAATGTCTCTATTTCTACCTCCTTCAAAGCTAACAAAGTCTCTCAAAATAGAAGCCTCATTTTCATAAAGTGCTGAGCAGATTAAAAAAAAAAAATCAACACACTGCAGACTTTGCTATTGCCAGAGCTCTACTTCATACCAAGGAAGAAAGGCTACTTGAGCTGAGGGCAGAGGGCTTTAGGAAAGCTCATCTGGGAGACGGAGTAAAAGGCAGGGTGAACCAAAACTATTGACTAAAAACTCCCATGTTGGGAGAGAGAAGAGTGTTTGTATAAAGATTTTGTCCAAAAGTCACATAAGCAGTTGATAATCTTATGTTAAAGGACTTTGATTTGGGAAATGGGATGGCCTGTGTTACTGTGTTCAGCCCAGTTGTGGCACGGTAAAATGCAGTAAATTTTGGATGCTTTCCCTCTGACTGTTCAGAAAAGTTTTCAAAAATTTAAAAAAAAAAGAAAAAAACTCAAGTCCCAATCATTTTCTTATTTCCAACTTACAAAAGCATAAAGAACTAGTAATATATCTATTCAGAATCAACAGAATAACTTTGATCAAACAATCACTACGTTAATAACAGCTGTTAGTTTGCTTTGTGAAAAAAATCAGTTGACAAATAAAGTGGACACTTTTCACTAAAGGAGCAGCACATTAAACTTTCACTGACTACTGCTGCATCCCTTCTGCCATAATATACTCCTGGACACATGTGGTTTGATGTTACCTACTATCTGTTTTTGTTGAGCTACAAGATGGGAAGCAGAGAAGAGGCAGTTAAAGAGTGAGAAAGCAGAGACATTTGTATTTGCATGATCTCAACTAGGCTGCTTATCACAGGACTCAGCACAAGGATGTAGGATCCCAAGCCATTATATATCAGTCCTTCAATCCCACATTAATGCTCAGTTTCACCAAAAAAATCTGTAGTCATACCTGAGAGAAATAACAATTAAGTGAAAGCATCGTGACATGTGAAGGAGCTTATGTATTTTCTTTAACTTTGGAAGAAACAGAGAAATTCTTGCATTAAATTTCTGTTCTAAGACAAATGAGTATATGTTCAGTGAATCCCTTGATTCTTACTCATGTTTCCAGTAAGTTCAATCCATTAGCTCAGAAAAAACCAACACTTAAATGAGCAAAGGACAAGAGTCAGTACCTGGACAATATGAAGAATGACATGCAGAATGTTATTATCAGAGCTCCCAAGAAACTTTGAAACCTTATGGCCAGATCCAAAGAAGGACTCATATACTGAAGATTTAGGCAGAGCTACGGTGCTTAAATTCAAAACCATGACCCCAAAATATGACTCTTATCTGCCACTGAGTTACTAAAAAGTACTTTAGATAGGGATATTTTTGTTTAAAATGACTATGTAATTGCTTTCTTGTGACTCAACTTTACTAACTCCATGCAAACAACATTGATATAGCACAAAAATTAAATTAAAACCCCTGTGATCCAGTCTTACCTTCCTGATGCCTTCAGAAGGGTTCGATACACAATTATCTGCCCCATTGTTCTTACTGATAGTCCTCCACAGTTCAGCAAATGTGTTATCCTGCTCCAAAGGGTTTGTCCCTTTTGCTTTAAAGTATTCATACACTGCTGAATCCCTGACTGTACCATAAGATATATCCATTTGTTTGGACAGATCCTGAAATGTTCTGAAATTCAAGCAATATTGAGATATTAGTATTATGTAGTACATTACTGAGTTTTCATTCATTAAATGGTTTCTTTCTGTGTCTGTTGTTAGTCAGAAGGCACTTACCCTCACGAAGTAACATTTGCATATCTCCTTCCGCATCATAAAAGGAAACCAAGGAGTAATTCAATTGTATTGAGATCATATGAATTTAACTATACCCGAGCTCTTATTTACCCAAGTAAGATTTTTTTTTTCCCCAAAAAAGTCATGTTAAGTATTACGATGCCAAGAATGTAGTGCAATAAAGACTTACTCAAGCACAGGAAAAACTCGGATTATAAATACAAACTTCCAGCCCCATCAACATCACCAGAAATACCCTGCAGAATTCAGTGGAATTAGTTTGCAGTTACGCCAATACTCCATCTGACTCCAAATCAATACCACTATTTTAAACAAACAAATAAAAGTTTCCCTTCCAATTTCCACTAAGTCTCTCTCTCTTTTTTCACAGCTTCTGGTAAAACAGGTATTTTTCATTCACACACAGGCCTAACTTTCATTTACTCATCATACCACTCTGGAAGTGTAAATGGGCCTCAGTGAGCCGCTGTGAACGCACCATTTATTTTCAAACTGTACAGAATGTAATTCACTCCTGTTTTACAGCCTTTTCTGCACAGAAAGGTGTAAATCACTGCCTGCATCAATGAAAACCAGGCCAAGTTTCGAAACATTTAAGGTGGCATCACTACCATCAGAAGCAGCATCCTGTTTCCCACTTTCAGACATTCATTCCCATTCCTGTGCCCCTTTCTTTGTCCTCAAGTATTACTTCTGTGCAGTGCCCCGTTTCTTTCATCTGAGCGTGTACACACACACACACACACACACACACTCTCAACCATTGACCATCACATGCAGCTGCAGGGACCAAACTGGATCTCATAAACATGGTTTATGTTTTATAAATGTTTAACATCACATAATAATGACGCCAGACGCTTCTGGTATGTCCAGCCGACTAAGACTGGTTGAGATCAGTCAAACTAACGCAACCGTCCCTGCCTCCCTGACCCCCTCACTTCTTTTTCCCCAAAAACAATCTTTCAGAAAAAAAATCCTCCTTAAAACACCTGAAAGGCCCACTCATGCCACCTCCCACCTGCCTCCAGCTCCCGGAGCCACGAAAGCAAAACATTTTGCCTTGCAGAAGATTTCTTCAAAATGCTCCTGAGGAGCCTCTCCTTGGCCCCGAAGCGGTTTTCCCCAGCTGAAGACTTGTCATAGACAATATTTTTCCACCACCCTCTTTGCTGTTTCATGGGGGGAATGCCATGGCTAACACCTCACATACCTGTAAGATTCCCTGCAACACTATTTAAAGCAAAGCAAAGCAATCCGGGCATATACACAATGCTACACAAAAATACATCGAAAACTCTTCCATCTTCTCCATCACATCACTCCAGGCCTCCCGAGTTTGGCTCCCACCTTTGCCAGGACACACCGTGTGAGAGCCTGCCAGCCCTGTCCCCAGAGCCGCAGCTCAGCAGGGCTGCCTCTCCCACCCCCACCAAAACTCTTTCAAACTCGCAACCTGCCTCAAACAGTTTAAGTGGTTTAAGTTCTTAAATTGTGTTAAGGACTTTTTATCATTTTAAGCTGTTAAGCAGCTTTAAGTAAGGCTGTGTGAACAGTCTTTCTCTGTGTACATTGCACACTTTTGGATTTGGGCTAACTCTGAGAGTTACATCAAACCCCAAACCTCCTGTTATTTCTCTAGCTCTGCATATGGCACTTTGGTAAAGTACAAAATGAACACCCTGGTGGTTGATGGGAATTCAAAAATGTAATAAAACCTGAGAGAACTCGTGTCGGTTTTCTTTCTCTCTTTAACAATCCCAAAAGTTATATTCTGGTCTCCTAAATGTTTCCTGTACATGTCATTGAACAGGACCATTTTTCCTCCAGTCTTGATCTAAATGATTACATGCTACATTTAGTTCCTTCTTTGTTTTTTAAAATAAGTTGCATCACATCCCATGGATTTGCTTACATCCTGGGGATGGATGATCTGGCTGTTAAGAGACACACTTCTGTCTTTCTGTATACAAATAAGAAAGGTATTCAACACACACACAGGAGGGTTTCTGTGGCAACCTTTTTCACACCAGGTTTGGCGTATGGATCCCAGCATGTGTAGGAGTGCATGTTTGGTAGAAGCACAGCAGCAGAAACATATTTAGCTTATGTTCTTTAACACAGCTTTCAGCTGATAACAACTTTACAAATGCCTACTGCTCATGCTGCCATTCTGTTTGAACATGAGAGTTTGGATATTAAAAAAAGTAAAAATTAAACCTGCAGTTTTAATAAAACTGCATGCATTCTGGATCACTTCTACTGCCTCTACTCCCGTGGAAGCTTTTTGTCAGAAATATGCCTTTTGTTTTAGCTAATTGTACTTCATTGACAATCAGTACTTTTGTTTTAGCTAAATTACATTTTATTGACAATCAGTACTGTACAAAAGCACAGTGTATCTTGCTTTTTGAGCAGCACAGTTTCTTCAATTCTCTAAACATCACAGTGCACAGTGAGTTTAAGTCAAGTGCTTTGCTGGCCCAATAAGCAGATAATCAGTACTGGTGGCAAGGAGGGAAGCACAGCCTTTGCCTGGGTGTGGTGAGGCAACTACTGCCCCTTTAGCTGGCAGAATTTCCTTGGAAGAGATAATATGGAGTATTGTGTGCCCTAAGGATTGCATGTGCCTTTCTTGCAGTGCTCCGTTTGGTAAGAACAGCCACTGCCATGGGAAATTCTCCATACTGCACCTCCGTTGGAAATATCCTGTGAGAGACACAGACGGTCGGCAAAGGACACAGCGAGGGTCACAGCAGGTAACCAAGCTCACCAGCAGTTCCTGTAGCATCAATTCAGAAGGATGGTGACTGCTTGAGTAAGAAAATAAACATATGCCTTTAGCAAATGGACCACTTAGCCAAAAACCTATCTCAGAAACTACCCTCACAGAGAGTGGTCTAGACCACAATTCTTAGTTGGTATAAAAATGTCTCTTTACTGTATTTCTGCACTAAAAGTGGAGGCAATGCTCAGCATCTCCATGGCCAGAGAGGTGATCAGAAGATATGGGCATGGCAGGTATGGTCACATACATAAAAGACACCAAACGGAGATTAGTATCTCCTGGCTTTTACAAGATGAATTAAGATAATCACAAGTGCAGGTTTTAACCACTGTTATTTTAATTCCCTCAGATCTGCCATTGCTAGACAAAATCATTCCCTTCCACATTTCAGATACTGGCTGCATCTTACAATTGTGTCATTCCCTAAAGACAACTGCTCTCATCGTTCTTAGACTTTTATTTTTTCAACCAGCCATTAGCTGGACCCACCTTCTTGAGCCACTCAAATTCTTGGCTCCCTTTTCTATGGCAAAGATTTCATACATTAATTTCATACAAAATTTACATTAGTATGTAAAATTATTTGCAACAAAAATGTGTAGCGTAACAAGATGCCCCATTGCCCTTACCACCTCAATTATGGGGTCTCACAACCCATTAAGGACTGGCTGTAAGTGTGATTAAAGATAAAGCTAGTAAAGCAGAAAAAGCCAATGTTCCTCACTCACAGTCACATGAGCCAAACTTCAGTTTGTAGATAAAAACATCCACTGTGTGATTGCTGTAATAGGCAAGTACATGTAAACCAATTGATTTAAGTAAATGTATCTGTGGTCAATGTAAACAAATCCGGCGTCTTTTAAAACTGTATTACCAGCTAAAGTATTTAATGCCTGTTGTTGTGCCTGCTAGACAAATGCAACAATTGATACATAATTTCCAGTGGAGTTGCAATTACTTCATGTAGAGTCAACTGAAAACTGGACTTTCTGCTTGTTTTATTTTTTTAGAAACATACTGGCATAAACCACATGCTGCAGAATAAACACTCAGGCAATAGCTCTACTAGCATTTATAATTAGACCTCTAGAAATAATTGCCAAACTAACAATACTGGAGATGTTTTCCTACTAGGAAAAGACTCATGTAGCTGTAGATATCTAGACTAAAAATGTGCTGTGCATATAGGTTTATTTTACTCTGTAACTGCTATAAACCCAAGACTGTTTGGATGAATAACACAAACAAATCTTGTCTAAGTGACAGACTAAACTTGTCACTACGTGCTTTGAAGTAACTAATGACCAATTAATTCCACTGGAGTCATCAGGCTCATCATATATGATCAAAGTATTAAAAAAAAAAAAAAACAGGCTCCTGTAATTTCTAAATGTAAAAAAATGGTGTTTTCTTTCTTTTTGTAGCTTTATTTTTTTTTATTTAAAGAAGGTTTTTAAACAAAGGCATAAGGCAAAAAAAGTACTTGCTTATTGAGTTTTTCCTCATGATTACCATTCATTTTTTTAAAAGCTTGTGGCAGGCTGCATGTCTGGACTCCTGTGTGTAAAGTCTACGACTGTAAACAAGCCCATCAGCTGGCACTACGGTGTCATGCAGTACAGGTCTTCTGCATCACAGTAATAACCACAGCGTTTTATCTTGACTTTAGCCTTAGAGAAACTGTAATGGGAAAATCCTGGCAGCTCCTTGATTTGGAGGTAGTTTCTCATTAGCATTCACAACTGCTCATGTTCTGACATTGTAAAATGGGATTTTTCCAGTCTGCTATTACTTACGGGAAAATACTATTTGAGAAGTTTCTGAATCCACACTATTGTTTCAAAATTATGCAAGATTTTTCATGCTTAGTTCCTGTTTGTTCATCTGCACATATACAATAGGAATAATAAAGCTTAACCTTAATAACCTTAGCCATAGAAGTAGTGAGCAGCTCTCTACCCTCGTTCTTCCACACTGTGAGTAGAGCAGCCTCTCCCTTCACAGCTCTGCGTATGTTTTGTCAAACACCACAATATAAATAATTCCTCTCAACTAAAGTTAATTAATTTTCTTAATATTAATCC